GCTCGCTTCAAAAAGTTGAGCAATGTTCAACTTTTGGCGCCTCGGCAGAAGCGTCAGCCAATGAAATCCTGTTTATGCAAATCTGCCAGTACAAGCGCTAGCCAATCAGACCGCGTGTATGCTGGGAGAGACTACGCAGGTAATTCCTCATATTCCAAAAATGTGAGGGAAAATTCATTATAGCGGTAGTGAATCACCCGGTGCTGTATGATCAGTCTCTGTTCATCTACCGGGATACAAACCAGAGGAGCGAGGCATGGAGGGAGGAGGCAGAGACAGTGGGTGAAACTGGTAGGTTTTCACCTGTTGGGGATTTTTTTTTTTTTTTTTTTCAGTTTACTTCGTTTTAACATTGCTATTGCTTTGTGTGTCGGGGGCAAGAGATTCATGTGATTGGTTGTTGCTGCTGTGCGGACCAGTAGTAGGCAGAAATGTACTTTAGGGTGGGCCTGTAAAAATATAGGGTGGGCCAGATTTTTCTTCTGCGCATCAGAAACTAACCACAATCCCACCGGTACCGGTGACAGATTACTTTTAGAATACTTCCTTTCTTCTCTTTTCTCTTCTTTTTCCCTCTTCTTTTTCTCTTCTTCTTTCCTCTTCTTTCTCTTTAGAATACTTTCTTTTCCATAACAGATGGGTATGTTTTGGTGAACGGGAGACACGTATTTTACTGTTTTAATGGCTTATGAAGAGCACAAACACAACATTTTAGTGTCATTCTGGACAGCTCTCTCATCTGCACCGCACATAAAAAGAAAAACTCACCCAGACTGCATTCTTACTGTCTTAAAACCTTTCCTTGGAATAGTATATGCATTGTAAGGTGTCCTTGGGTGCTTTGAAAGGCGCCCCTAAATAGAATGCATTATCATTATTATTTATTATCTGAAACGATGTAATAACTTTTAAAACTTTTCCCAGTTACTTGCCCCATGCATTCGGCAGCAGCAGGCCATTCAGTTAGATTTGATCCCGTTATAAATGTCATCATTCCGACAATAAATAAATGCTACATAAACGTTATCTTCCACGTTTTATCTAAACATCTCCGTTTCTACCTTCCAATATGTTTTGAAAGAGAACTCTCTCTCTCTCATCTGCGTGCGGGGCGGGGCCTCACGGACACGCTGCATCTCTCGCTCACAGATACGCTGCAGCGCTGTGCACACGGTTCTGCCGGTAATGAATATTACATATTGTGAGGAAACTTTCCACCAATAATTCCAATAAGTATTCACTTCAGGTTTACGAAAGTAACTGCACTCAGATTACTTGTTTTTCAAATGTAACACCAGCTGAATATACTGATTTTTTTTTTCTGATTACGTAACACCGTTACATGTATTCCGTTACAACCCAACCCTGTGTAAGGGTGAGTGCAAACATTTTCGTTAAAACTAGTACCTGAGTGCAACGGAAGTTGAAGCTCCTGTGGCGGAGTCTTCCAGAGCCTGGAGGCGAGCATCGATAGCTATCATGGAGCTAGCCATGGATTGCAGGGAGCCGGCCGCGCTACTCTCCATAAGGGGTGTGACACTCCCTGCCTGGCGAGCCTGAGAAGGGGTGGATTTTTGGAGGGGGACGGGATCTTGGAGGGCTCGACTTCCTGCCCTTTTTTTACCTCCGCGGCTGCGGCCTCGTCCTCGCCCTGCTCTCTGGGGAGCTGACTGGAGCTGCTGCCCCGGACTGGGGAGCTACGCTGGAGACCTGGTCCGAGAGCTCTCGCAGCTGAGAGAGAGTGAGGCCTGGGGCTGTGGGAAAGCCCTGCTGCAGGAGCCGGGCGATGAGGAAGTCTGCCTGTAAGCCTATAAGCGGCTGTGGGGAGCCCAACCGGGATCGGAGACTTCCAGAGAAGGTTCGTGTTCCGAATTGTCCGAGTTGGACATCTTGAGCTAGTTGTTTCTCACGGTTTTTCTCACGAGAAGGAGTATTGTATTGCAACTACCATTGAGTGTGATCATCTGCAATGACAACTGACAGGGAGGAAGAGCAGGCATTTAAGGAATTTAGCATGTGCAGCGATTGGCTGCTGAGGGGTGACGCCCTCGTATTTAATGAGGGGGGAAGGGAGCCCTAGAGTGACGTGTAAGTGACTCGTGTTAGGTCTTCCTTATTGAACTTGCGCTAAAGCTTTCATTAAATATCATTATTTGGACATCTGTTTTAAATACTTGCTAAAACTCCAAGCTCAAGTCTGATCTGGCTTACCCTGAGATACCTAGGGTTTGTCTCTGTGTCTATTACTTATTTAACCTCAGACAATATGGACTGTCTTGGCTGAAGGTTTTTATTTTGCACTATCTACTGCTCTGAATGGAACCAGTGTCATGCATGCTGCATATTCATACAGTATGAACAATTCAAATATTATTTCATTCAAGCTATCTTTTTGTCTCATGCGTATATATCATTTATCTGAAATTCTACCTCTGTTGCCAATAAGGAAAAAGCAAATATTGAATTGTCCTCGCTCTGCCCACTCCATCTTTCTCAAATCTTTGTCTTTCTCCAGAGATAGTTGAGGACGTGGGAGAGAAAGACACAGACAGGAAGAAACGAGACAATAGAGACAGCTTTAACTCGTTCTGGTAATTCTCAGTGGTTCTTAAAAGTTGCCATGGATACAAACCAAGCCTTTATGAATAAGATTTTTTCAAGATGTCTCTTAAACATGTGCTGTATTTCTACAGAATATTTCTTGAATAAGTTTGCACTTCTTTCTTTCTAAGTTGTAGAAGTGCTTAGTTTTACGGATGTTCTTAGTTTTACGGATGTACGGACAACATCAACAATTTAGGCTTGACTCTCACAAATACAATTCTATCTTACATTTGACGGAGTGATAAACTTTTTGATAAAAATGGTTGTTTCTTCGGACAACGGCAAAGGATAGTGACTTTTTTTAAATACACGGCAGTCTTGCAATTTAGCTTTCCTTCACCAATCCCCTTGCCCTGCCGTGTCTGACTAATAAGGATTATTAGTGAGTGTCCTCTTTCTTCCAACTATTTATTTTACATGTGTGCATAACAAGTCATTGATTCAGTGGGAGGCCAAATAGCAAACATGAGGCAATGCTGAGTCATGTATTCAGTGGGAGGCCAAATAGCAAACATGATTAAAGGCAATGCTGAGAAAAAAGGTATTTTTGATCATACCTTAAGAAAATCAAAAGCAAACATTGCTTTTATGCATGTCTGCAATTAAGTTGCTGGTCATTCTGATTTGTTATGTGGGAAGAAGTTGACATTATTTTACTGTGCGGGCAGAACACACGATCAAAAGATTTGTCCTGCATTAGCTTCTCATATTCAATTACCCTGTAAGGTAAATAGAAGAAAGTATGTTCTCTGGACGAATGTATCAACTACCTAATGTTTTTAAACTCAAAGTTGAACTGTGTTTTTTCTTTTTCAGAACATTTAGCAATGAGCTGCAGAAAAAAACGTGTTGATACTGAACACTAGGAGAACAATCTCTGGGAAAGAAAGGGGAGTGTACCTTTAAGCTAATCTTCTGCTTTGGTTAAGCTGCTGCAACATTAAAACTAAAGATTTCTTGCTATGAATAATCAATCAAGGGTAAAACCGTAATCTCCACCAGTGCCAGACAGGTTTTACACGCATATATCTATATTTCACTGTGGTGATTTTAAACAGCCAACTGATGCATTCTATAAAATCTCACACATGTAGTTCAATTTTCCTGCAGTTTTTTAGAAGTTTTTACTCTGAAACTTGTATTAAAACAATTCTAAATATCCATATGTATAATGCATGAAGAAGGCCATCTGACGGTCGGATCAGATTAGTTAATTAAAAAACGAAATCATGCATGCTGTGTTTTTAGTCACTTTTAGAATAAAATAGGATTTGACCAAAACAAAAAAACAGCCGCCCGGCCCTAATCCTGTCCCTTTGTCTTCAGGGATGAGTGTTGTACCATGTGGTGGGACATGGGAAGGATGCTGATTATTAAACCTTGCCACGGGCTAAACTTGTTATAATGCAACCTTTCAGCCATTTGTTGTATGCATTGATGGCAAAGGGATGAGGGTAATCAGCTGTAACATAGCGACGGTGTTGACGATTTGACCTTTGTGTGACCATAACCCTTTACGACCCCCATAAAAGCACCTGTTAATCTACTTTAGGGTATTTGAGGACAGAACACCAATTCAATTTGCCAGAGCAGAAAAGTGACAGCTTGATGGACTGTGATCAGTGATTTCTGAGCCAATCGATATGTTTCATTGATGGCTGCATGACATTGTGCCCTTGAGCCACAAGCAGATTTGTTGATGTTTCACCTCGATATGTTTTACGAGCAGAATTACATGCTCTTAACAACGTTTAGCACTCTGCAGATACTGAACATCCGAGTCATAATTTAGTATCATTGTCAGGAGGAATTTCAGTTACCTTGTCAGTTTTTTTTATTCAATCACATCTCCTTTATTTGTCCAGGTAATTGCTTGTAGCTATCACTTCTTGAATTAGAAGTATTCTATTGTTCATGGTAAAAAGCTGAACAGCGATAAGCTCACACATCACAGGAATTTTTTGACACCATTTTATATGTGGAAACTATGGTAACTGAGAACAAATCCATTTTCAGGCTAATTTCCCCTCTTATCCCTGATAAGAGCTCGGCCACGGCCTGTTGACACTCTCGGGAATGTCTGAAAATAATTTGAACCTCATCATTATTCAGAGGTGCGAGGATACAGTAGGCTATAGCTACCTAATTGGAAACGAGAAGCAGAAACAACACTCGGTAGGATGTGAACAGTGCCCCCCTCTTGCTTTCAGGTGGATTTCTGGAGCACTGTTGCTACTGCAAACAGCAGAGGCATCTGTGGTCCACACATACCCCGCCATCCACCTACATCTCAGCGCAAGCATCTCTCCAACGCAGTGCGGCTTTAAGAGGACCGGGGCTCTTAAATCTGCGGTTGGCTCCTCCTTCCGCCATGATGTCATTCGGAGGGAGAGCGAGAGCGAGAGGGAGAGAGGTGGGCAGCATTGAGGAACTGAGTTCATACAATACTACTGAGACATCTACAGCTTAGCAGACAGATACGGTGAACCGCCTATCGCGGCTCCAGTAAGTGATGCTGCACTGAGGCACACTTTGATCCAACTCCATTGGGGGGCGATGCGCTCTCTGCATCCCTCCTTCAAGAGTTTTTGGGGAGCCTGTACAACCTCGAATCAGTCAAAACAAGTGATTATAAAAATAAATTAGGTTTAAGCTTTCTGTTTTTCATCAGAAGTCTTTTTTTTTGCGCTCTTGGATTGAAGTTTTACGCACGAGTCAAGAAGCGTTTAGAGCACACGCGTAAGTTTAGTGCCAGATATTTGAAGCTGGTAAAACAAGTAGGAAATTCAAGGCAGTAGGCTAGGGATACAAAGTTAATGTAAAACAAGCTTGGATCAATGCGTATCACCAGCCGGGGGACTGCGAGCCCAAGACATCCGAAGAGGAATTACAGCGTCCTTTTCAAACAAAGTTGATCGCTGTGCACGATTTTTTTTCTCTTGCACATGAGGACCATGTTTTTTTAGCTCACGGATAAGTTTTTGTAGTGGATATCGTTATTTTCGACTTGCATTGCTTTTTGCTGCCGCTGCCGATGAGGATCCTTTCCCCCAGTTCAGTTAAATTCATGGCACTTATTTTTTCGCAAATCAGTGATGTCTCCACGCGACGGTATTGACTGTTGATTGTACACCCTGTTCGAGTGGAAAAGGTAAGCTTTGCTCTAAATCATCACTTTACTGTTGGGATCAAATTGTGTTATACTTTAGTGGTCTCTGAACATGTATACAGATGACCGGTATGTTTCTTGAGCGCATTCAGAGACGCTGGAGAGCGCCCAACAGCCTCATTTATCCGGTCCGTATACAATCTAATTGATGTCTCAATACCGGCGAGTGTATTTACAATCACTGCGAACAACATAAGCTTGGTGAACATTTAGTGACGCTTTGATAAATCAGTGCGTGCGATAGTCGGTCATGATACTGTTCCGTGGTTTTCCTAGAGCTGCTCCACATATAACAGGCGTCCCCCGCACCTGATGTACATAGAAATTATTCACGGCCACGGTGCAATGTAGAGATTCTAAAATGAGTTGTTGCATTATGAATGTGGACCGCGCGGCTGGGCACGACTTCGAGCGTTATTTGCCCAACACTGATCGCTTAATAGATAGCCCTACTTCACAAGAGCATCCAACTGCAGGGACTTGTCAGTGCAGGTTTCTCAGCAGTTTGGCCGCTGAGCTCGGTGCGTGGGTGCGCGGTAACAGCGCGTTCCTGGTCTAGCGATTCAGCTGTCACCGACCATAACCTCAGGGGCTTAACAGTCTGTTCACGCTCAGACTCTAGGAAAAAATAAATAACTGCATCAACATATTGTTTTCTACTAGGAATAGTTCAAATTATCAGGACTTAAATCCCCGTTGGCCTGAAGATTAACCGCCACAGTTGGTTGTTTGACTTCCTAATAATGTTACCTGCTCAATATGCAATAGATTATTATTGGGCCTGTTTTTTAAAGAGTCCCAAAAGGCCTATTGAACTCAATATTTGCTGGAGAATTAAATCAAACAGTAACGTGAGCCTTCCCAAGGTGAGCAGAATATTTTGGCTCTGGGCTGAAGCATTATATTAAAAGTAGAGTCAGTGAGTAAATTAAAGCAAGCTAAGTATTTGTGAAATTCTCATTACATTTGCAATAAAGTGTCTGCTTGTCCACATATGCATTTCAAATGCATAAGTAGGTAGAGAGCAATCGACCATAGTGTTTAATGTACTGATATTGGGTACTGTAGGCCTATCTCCAATTATATTTCATGCCTCTGATGCATTTAACATAATATTGACTACAAAGGGATGAGCTTGGGTGTCATTACCTTGATAGGAATCTCCATGTCTTCTTAAGTGTTCATAGAGTAATTAACATGTAGTCTCATATATACCCAGGCATCAAATATTTTGAAACACTGAAATGTTTGTGGCTTTTTTTTCATTTTAAAGTGTCTGTTGCATTATTAATATTTAAGATTCTTAAAAAACTCAGTCAGTTGAGCTGTTTGTCTATAATTTATCTTTCATTTATATCTTCTCCTGAAGCTTGACATTTGCCATGGAGTAGTTGCATTGTCCCATAAAGGATACTATACTGAATAACACTCAACATTTAATTTGCCTACAGTATATCAGTCTCCATGCTGGTGACTGCAGCGTAACTCTTACTTGAAATATTCCCACAATGAAAAATATAATACAAATGTTTTCTTATGTGTTTTTTCAGTATCATCAACAAATAAAGTTGTTAAAATAGCTTTTCATAATCTACTATACATGAATAGATAACATTTTCATTATTTTTTCTTTGTTAAAATGAATTACATGTTTTCTTTCTTGTCTATAACTTTGAGTTTTATTACAATATATCAAAATTGATACAAAAATAATGGAGTTTATTGCCAAAGTTAACTTTAACATGTATTATATACTGTATTTATCATTAGGATTATATTTGCATCCATGGACTGCCCTCTTGAGGTCCATAACTCCAAATATCCTCAATTTGCTAATGTATGAAGCCAGCATTTCATTTTCAAAGTAATACAGCTCTTCATAATTTAGGTCTATACAACAATTAACACATTGATTAAAATATGAAAAAGATGCTGAGTTATGCATCTTCACATCTTTGCCAGATTTAAAGCAAACATTGTGCTACAAATTATTTTAGAACATTGATCGATTCATGATGTGCAAATCCACGTGATATTTAAACTTAAGTCTATGTGTTTTGTCAGTATGAAATATACAGTTAACCTTGTCAATGTGGCCGTTTATGTTAAGCAACATTTGTCATCGCTCTTTTTCACTTTGCAGCTCGACTTAGGGAATATAGTCATTTCTGAAGTTCCCCTAGAGAAAACAACTTTCATTCCTCCACCCTGAAAAGAGAACAGTTCTGGCTGTGTGGATTGAAAAAAGAACTGACTGATCTTGACAGAAACCTGGTCTGTCAGGCTGTCAGCGATCTTTAAAGCTGTTAAAAGAGGAAAAAGCCCAAGACAATCAAAAGTATTACTTCTTCCAATGCCCTCTTTTGAAAATCTCTTTGGATCCAAAGACAATATTGATGGATACAACCGTGGAGAAAACCTGTCTTTGACGGTTAAAGCACTCCAAATGTCTTGCTTTCCAGCCTCAGATTAACTACACTGAAAGTTTCCAATCGAGGGTAGGGTGAAGGTAGGGGGTGACAGTACCTCTATGTCTCCCCTCACTGCTGCCTTCAGCATGCACACACCAGGAAGGCCTGTCCATCACACTGTTGTGCAAAGTGATCCTGGGCCGTCCTGCCCCTCTTCACTCTGTGTCTCCCAAGAGGGAGGCTTGAGTTTGCCTACTGGATTCAACCTGCTGTCTGGGGCTCAAAATAGCATTTCAGGAGACTAGTGAAATGTAAGCAAACGAGACACTCTGACTGACACCTAGGATTTCTTTCTCCCCCCTCTTACTTTTTCCCCCCTCCAGCACAATTCCTTCTCTCACCTAGCCTATCCCTCATGGACAGGCTTATAAAGAGCTATGACATGTGAAACGCCATGCAAATGTTGGAACAGCAACAGATAGATAAGAAGGATAATAGAATATGAGAAGTAAACAAGATTGGCCGCAACATCGTGAAGAGCATAGTATCTCTTGCCTATTCATTACCTCACATCATGATTTTATAATTTTAGATTATAACTATCTACTATTTATACATCTAATATATGATACTGTATATGCATATCTTCTGCTTGTATAATAATGGGTGCCACAGTGTCCTCGTTGTACTCTTTCTTGTACTCTCAGCCAAAAAACATACACCCCTTCATCCAGCGAAGCATTATTGTCACTTACAAGGAAAAGGAAATCTAGATCATGCTTTGATCTTTTTCAGTTTTTTTCTCAATGCCGAATCACATCCGATTTAAGGATGTGATTTAAACTTAATTATGCGTCGTGCAAGCTCAGCCTTGGATTGCCTAGCGTTCATCCAGTATAGCAATTGTTGCTCACTCTCAGAAAGATGCACACTTCAAAGTGAAGTCTGTCACAGTCACTAATGGGATATATCGCATCAATATTTTGACATGACAGGGCAACGTGGCCTGTGCAATATGTGTAGAATGAATAACCCTCACCCTGATCAATGTCAGCCATGATTTTTCCTCTCCAACTGTTCTTTAATGAGTCTCATGTGACTTCTTCATGAAATGTGTGAAAAGAAATCTGTCTTACAGGCTGCATGAATGCCTTGCAATTGTTGCTGATTCAAAACCAGCTTAATTAAATTCTTTTTTTTAATCAATTCCCCTTTGTCGGTAGGCCGAGAGCTTCAATGGCAATGAACGCTGTTGCCTTGCCAATTTAGAGAACCCCTGTAGAGCAGTTTAGGTAGTCTTACCTTTTCTACAGGATATTGTTTGACTCGTGTTAATGGATGGAAATGTCATCAAGTAGGGAATATTACTCTTCCCAAAGAGCTATTTCTGGTCCCCTGTTGCTGTGCGTACATATGCGTTTTCAGCAGCTTTATATCGTTTCTGTGATGGCTGTCATATACTTTTGCCATATTAGAAGGAAGTGGATATTTGACTTCAAGGCAGCTGCCTTATATAAGCCAATATCTTGAAGAAAACCATATGGTTGATAAGCACTCAGGGGGGTTGGTGAACCTAAATACACAGTGGGATATGAGCAATGAAATTATATTCGTTGTTAAATAAATTGTGCTGGAATACACAAGGGGAACCAGGATTGTTATGAGAAGCGGTATACCCCTGCATTTATGGCTTTAACCAGATTTGTCATTGCACATTCTAAAAAAATGTAAGGCCAGTAGTGTGTAATTCTGTTGTTCTACTGAAAAAAATCTACTGAACATCGATATACTTTGATAATATTCCACATTACCAACACTGTAATTGCAAAAGCTATTTAAAGCATGCATGGCGAAGCATTTAAATAGACCAGTGTGATTTTGATGGGAATGATAGAATGTCATTTATTAAAGATAAACAAGATTGGATTAAATCTTAAGTCAATACTTAATATTAAGTCCAAATGTGAGTTAGTCAACCAAATGAAGTGGCTCCGCTAATAGCTTACTAAATATGCTACTAATTAACTGGTGGAAAGCAGTCAATATTTCATGCTAGCATATCCTGGCAGGGAAGGAATTGCGGATCATGACTCCTTCATCATCTTCCAATGACCTACTTGGGTTTTGGCAAATGGGGTCCTTGCCCTTTGGCAAACATTTGCACGAGTAAAACAGTTAAATATTTTTGTAGAACAACTGCATTAAATAAAGTGGCAAGCAACACAAACTGATTTATTAATGACTTATTTTCAGTGATGGTAAACCCATGCAATGCATTTCACTTGAAGCTTTTACTATAGCATCATTCAGCAGAATAAGTCAACTGGATGTTGTGTACATTTGATGTTGGAGCAAAATTCATTTGTCAGGGTGTAATGAAGTTATGTTTACATTTCATTAATTTGACTGATGGCCGCTCTCGTAATAAATTATTTCACATTGTTGTCTCCTTCCGCAGCAGTTTCTCTAAACAGTGCTCTTATCATGCTGTGTATGTTTACACACATGGGCGTTCATGAAATATTTGAGAGCTCAATTGTTTGCATTCAGAGCAAATTAGGTTTTTCATTAATAGCTGTTGTCAAGCGGTACTATTGCAAGTGAGTGTGTTAATGTGTGTGTGTTTGTGTATATGGAAGCACTAAGGCTTAAGGCTCAGTTCTGCTGCCTCTAGATCAGCTGAATTCTGGATGTGGGGTGCAGTTTATGAAGACACCATATTGACTTACATTGAATCAGATATGAGTTGAAGTTCTTTCACTTCATCCCATTTCTTTATGCACAGCAGTTTGTGAAGCTTTTAAAGCAAACTATTATTTGCAACTTGACTGCTTTCATAATTTTCAATGAAAATATGAAACGGTTCATTACCGCAATGAAATGGATTGACGAATATGTGAACTACTAACCTTTACGTGTCCACTTGCTCAATGGATGTTATCAAAGGTTAATTGTGTACAACCGCTGTTAATTTGCTCTCAAAGACATGCGAAGGAAGTGGGCTCATAACAAGTTAGAATGAATAGGTCAAGTTGAAAACTATCTGTGAGGGAAAATAGTGCAAATTGCAAGAGAACTTGAATGCCATGTCATTTTGTGCACTGACATTGAATGTTCTATTTTTCTCTTTCTTTCTCACCTCTCTTACGGCAGAATTGCTGCCGTTGAAGTGAAGCTCCCATCCACACTTGAGTATGGACTTACCAAGTCAGGCTCATGTGCTGGTGGTCTTGCTCACCTGTGTGGTCTTGGTATGCCGGGCCCAGGAGCGGGACTACACGGTGAAGGAGGAGCAGCCAGAGAACGTCCGTATCGGGAACCTGCGCAAGGACTTGGATCTCAACCTGGACCCAAACATCAGGCTATCCTCACCGCTGCAGTTCAAGCCTGTGTACAAGACGGGTGACGTGCCTTTGGTGAGGGTGGAGGCCAACACGGGGGAGATCTTTACCACCAATCACAGAATCGACCGGGAGAAGCTGTGCTCAGGAGTCTTCGCTGAGAAACGCTGCTACTATGAGATCGAGGTGGCCGTTCTGCCTGATGAGATCTTCCGATTGGTCAAGATCCGCTTCCTGATCGAGGATGTAAATGACAACGCACCGCTTTTCCAGTCCACGGTTATAAACATCTCCATCCCAGAGAACACAGCGATCAACACCCGATACCCGGTGCCCTCAGCATTTGACCCTGATGTAGGGATCAATGGGATTCAACACTATGAACTTGTCAAGGTGAGACCCACTCCTGTTTCATCTCACACACTCATATAAAAAAAGGAATCTTTGTTTCAGGGTTTCCATAGTTATCTTAATTTTGTACAATAAGTGTTGATCGGTCCATCTATAAAATAAAACATATCACTGAAATATAGGTATTACAATCTCAGAGCACATGTCAGTCAAACATCCCTGTTCCTTTCAACATTGGCTGAAATGTCAGCTGTAAATGAATAATGAATAATTAAGACACCGAAGTACCTAAAGAAGAATTTGTAACTGAAGTTGATGGAGGTTATTACTGTATGTACGCAATATCATGCTTACACTAAAATGCATCTTGTACAAATTCATTTAGTTCAATAATGAATGAGTGAAAGCTATTGATAATGAAAGATAAAGGCCTGAAGCCTCATCGTACTGGTTCAGTTTTCAAGTTAATGGTTTGCTTCACAGACTTAATAGAATAACATGCTTTTAGTAAAATTATAACATTTGATGAAGCAAAAAACCTGTAGCAATCTATTTTGAAGAAACACTAACAAATGGGAAAGCAAGCATACAATGAATTGTCTTTTTAAATAACCATAAAGATGTCTTCAATGCAAGCAGAATATCAGTCAGCACACAGTTATTGATGGCTCTCGTACACACTGCGATGCCTGCAGCATGCCACCTGTCTGCACCAGGACTGATGGGCTCAAATCATTGAGTGTTTACAACATCATTTTTTCTTCAGATTTTTCTTATCATGCCTTTCATGAAATAAAGATTCCCAATCTGCATTATACTGTAGCTTCTCCTGTAAACCTGCTATATTGCTGTAGTGTTCATCAATAAAGGAAATTAATGTTGATGCGTTTAAAATATTACCTACTTTTTCATAATATGGAATATGTCATGCATCCGACAATGTTTTATATCAGCCATTCATATTTCCATGTTCATTATGTCATTATGAGCAAAGGCTATAAATAAGGTGAAGTTTTCATCATGTAAAGTAATATCTAGAAAAGCAGTAAAAGTGCACGCACAGCATAAACTGCATGTCCAATTTCCAGCAACAGGTTACATGTGCTGAACACTGTAGATTAAAGTAAGTGAGAAGGCGAGGATGGTGTTATATTAATAGATGTCTCTTGCAGAACTTGGGAAGCTTTTCTTCATCATCTAATTGATGCTTTATTAAACTGCGGTGCAATATACTTTCTTGCCTATACCAATGGAGTCAGCCCTAAACCCAGAAAATGTAGGATTTGATCATGCATTCTTCATTTACAGTCTAGATAATACTCTATGCTTTGCGGTTAGATTAATATTGTAGATGACATGAGCCCTTACAAATGAAGCGTAATTAAAGAGTCAGATGCAAGCACTCTGGAGGAAAGCCCAAACATTATAAATAAAGAAAGATTACTAGATTTTGAGAGCATGGTGTGAGACTAAAATGACAAGTCCATTTTGGATTCTTAAATGAAGTTAACACTGGGTCGGTATGAACAGAATCATTGCTGTCCGTCCCTGCCCTGAATATCAATTTGCATTTTTAAAGAGTCCCACTGCCAAGGCTTCTCCAGCGCAATGTCCTGAATTGTTCATGCCTGGAAAATCACCAACCAAATGTTCTGCTCATTATGATGATCATCTGCAATCATTTTCTTTGCCCTTTTTACATTATAAAGCTTTACTAAAACCCTCGCCTACACTGTGGTTGTATTATCATTTGCAGGAGATTCTTTTTAGAGCATCCTATGCACTGTGCCCCTGACTTAGTTCTTCTCATTACATTCTCATTGTACTCGAGATTAATTTCCTTGTATTCCAGGTTCCATGTGAGTAAAACACAGGAAGAGGCATTTAAGAAGCCAGAAAAAATTGTTCAGAAGTGCAGTAGAAAGCCAAGGGTTTACAGGGGAAGAGTGTGCAAGCATTTCCTAGAATAGCTCGTGGCTGCTAAGCCACCCTTGGACTATCTTTGTATGGTCCTCAGAGATTTGTCTCAGAAGCTCCCTCAAAATGATAGTTTACCCATTTTCTTTGTGTTGTAGAAGGCACGTTGCTGAAATTGCTACCATTGTGTTGCACAGTCAGCCAGGCTCAATGGTCCACCACTCCACATGTAGCAAGCCTGAATTGTCAACATACAAAACAAATGAAATAAACATGGTAGCCTCTTTTGTTCAATTTCTTCCTTTTTCAAGCAGGACAATGGGTAATTTCATTCAACACTGCACTCCACACCTAACATAATGATTGGTAATTACACTTAAAGTGAAACTCTGCCATCAGTCTAGTTGTATGCTACGTCACCTGAACTGCAGAGAAGGCGTCCTAAGAAATGGTCAAGGTCACTGAAAGTAATAACATGCATGGATGGAGGAGGATGTCCCATGAAAGCCAATTCTATCACTTTACGTATTCACAGGATAACTTGGAGGCCCACAGGGAAACACACTCAAGCCTAAAGGAGGTTTTTCTGTTTGTTTTGCTCCTGATTTTGGCTGTTCACGGACATTGGTCTCTTTTCCTATTCCAGTTGTGTATGTGTTTGCAGCATCACACACTACATGAATCCACGTTGTATCTATGTCAGCATCTTCAGACACATTTAAGATGAGCGTCTTGTTCAAGTCATTTCATGTAGATCCATGTTCTGCTGCTGGCTGGGGCATGCCTTACTGATAAAGTAGATGATGAAGTGGGTGTCTGTATTTTGACTTGCGCAATCCAGAGAGCTCTTACACTTAACCTTCTGCCTCTTGGATTTTTCCTGGCAACACTATCTGAAATATTCCTTAGATTTTTGATTGGATTTAGTGGTCCACCAAGTCTGATATTGAATAACTTTATTCCTAGGATTCCAACTTTGCATTTGAAGATGCAAAAATTATTCAAACCCTATTCCCAAGAAGCAAGAAAGCTTTGATGAATGCTTTGCATGCTGCCTATAGGCAGTGAATAGATATTTTAGGCAGAAGGCTCACTTTCAAGCATTTCCAGTTTCATTAGCATTCCATTTTGACACATTATCCACTTCTAGTGATTGACAAAAAGAGACAAACAATTTCCAGCTTCTTTTGTCTTAATTATATGCATGAGATCATGGCCAGGGGCACATTTGGATGAGGGATGCAGAGAAAGAATGAGGGAGGAATGAGAGAGAGAGACAGAGAGGGTGAGTTTTTTCAGCAGTATAAAAAGGTGCTATAGCTTGTGATGATGAATAGCCCTCCCCAGTTAGTCCTATCCATGGGCAGCACCGTGACTAGAGTCCTCCTGATATATTCACAGCCCAATCTCAGTCTCCTCTTAGTTTTAATAAGGTCATCAACTTGACTGAAAGATGCATCCACCTACAGTATAATCCGAGGTCCTGTCTGCAAAAGGAGTTCAGAGACATTCTTCCCTCATCATCAGCGTCCTCTATTTCTGTCATCATCTCTCAGTATTTTTCATTTAAATTAGCCAACTCGGATTAGATTATATCTGACATATACAGTGACCTGACCCCTTTCTGATCACTGCAGATATCTATAATGTTGAATTGAAGGCAAGTCATCAAAGGTTGGGAATACCTGAACAGTAGATGTGTGCTGAAAGAGTGAGTGCACACTTAGTCATCTAAAGAACTACGTCCTTCTTGGACAGCCTTTGGGTTTCTAGTGAGTGATTCATGCAAGTAGTTGGCCTTTACTTAGCCTGCCCTAGATCTTATCAGAATCCACCAGACTAATTTTGCATTCAGGAGGAGGCACAGCCTGAGAAGATAGCTCCCTTCAACTTATTGAAATGCGCTGTGTGCCGTCTTGTCAGTTGTAAAATTGTGTGAAACCAAGACAAAAGCAGAGAGGAAATGCTGGCTCATAAATCATTGTGCAGCATTCCCTTTGACACATCCTAACTCAACATCCTACTATTAAATCAGACGTTGCCAAATATCAGTGTGCAGATACTCAGCTACTGTGCTGAATCTGTGAACTATTCAAACAACTGGGGATTGCGGAGCTCTGTGCGGATGGAGTAGTGCTTGGAAGTAGAACCCACAGTCTTGGACCTTTCAGTTATGACAGAAATAGTTCTACGTCAAGCATAACGATTCGGCACAGTTCATCCATAGGGCTGTCCCTATACGTTTCCACGCATATCTTATGTAACATGTCTGCTTATCCGTTTGACTCTTGCTTGCCAGAATGATCACAAAATAAGGTCTGAAAGATCATTGCTGCAGCGTTGGCTGGTTTAAGTAGTTCTGTCAATCACTGACATGTTGACAACATTCGCTCAGCAAGCAGTTTTTCAGAGTACATAATAATTTACATGCTGCAGCTGCACGTTTCCTTGTGTCAGCTACAACACTATGCTGGCACGAGGGCGGTTCTAGATTTTAAAACCTAGTGAGGTCTCTTGTGCTCACAATTTGGTTGAAATATTCCTTCCTTGAACGAGGAGAATGTATATATCTTAATCTCATTTGATAGCTGTGCTTAGACAGAGTAATCTCTTCCAACATTATGTGCAGCGTGAAGCTTATCTCTTTAAAGAGGATGCTTTTTCTTGTTTTACCATGAAACTGCTTCTGACTGAAAGAGCTTCAAAGGGCTTCTTTGTTTCATAATGTGCATGCAGCTCATTCATGTGCTTGATCTTCTTCTTATTTCCTCCCCCCGCTCTCTCTTTCTCTCCTTTTCTGTCACTTCTCTCCCTCTCCCTCTCTCGCCTTCCATTCCTTCTCCTCCAGCCTAATTTGAGAACAGTCATGGATCCATACCCAGTCTGAAATTGTAAATATTAGTGCTAGTTTTTTTGTTGTGGAAGGCAATTACTCCTTATAGCAGTACAATTTCCTCCCGTTTCTCATTTGGATTACTTATGCATTTGTTTTCAATTTGTCCAGTTTTACTTTTGCTAGATACAGCCCTTCTAGAGCAAAATGCTTTTTGTAATATGTAGGGTTTTTAACTTTATTGTCTTTATCTGAGGTGATCTGATTGTGTAGTGCATTTAAATTGGAGCTCAGTGTTGTGTCTGTATTTCAAGCTTTCTACCTCCCATTAGACAGATAAAACGTTGCAAGGCTGCCTTCTCTATTCTAACTCGACACACAACAGGAAGGTGGGGTGAAATGTAATTTTAGTGAAGGCAGAACGAAATTGGATGAAAAGGCCTATGAGGTAAAGGGATCCCTTCAAGAAGTAGTTGCTAGGGGGGCGAAGGGACTTGATTTACTACAATGATTGCTCACATTTGCAAAAAGGCTAAATAACTTACATCGTATGTCAATGTTTCTAGGGCAAGTATTGTAAAATGTAAGTAAAACAGGAACAAAAGCTAATGATTAGCAGGTTTGGAAATGCTTTTGATTAAAAGGAAGATGAGCAGGGCAAAGAACCAACTGCCTTGTTAAAAAATGTCCTGGTCTGTTTACTTTCCTCTTAACATTAATCTCTGCCTTAAAGCCTGGTCCGTAGAATGGTTACAAATGAACCTGAGTAAAGAAAGAAAATACCCTGACAAGTTCTTTGGCTTTCTAAGACAATTGACAAATCTACGATCTAAGAACAAAAACAGGAGGAAGAATATCTCAGAATATATTAAACATCACTGTATCGATCTGTACCTCTTTTTATCTTATTACCCCAAATAAAATGTGATATTCTTACTAATGGTATTATTTGTCAGTACACTTGTGTTGGTAAAACTTGTGCTCAAAAGAATAAAAATAACTCAAAATGTTGTCTTGTCATTGCAGAGTGTCAGCGAGTTTGGCTTAGACATCATAGAGACTCCTGAAGGGGACAAGTGGCCGCAGCTCATTGTTCAACAGAACCTAGATCGCGAGCAGAAGGACACCTTCGTTATGAAGATAAAGGTAGAGGATGGTGGCAACCCCCCCAAGTCCAGCACTGCCATCCTGCAAGTCACCATCTCCGATGTTAACGATAATCGTCCCGTCTTCAAAGACACTGAGCTGGAGGTCTCGGTGCCAGAGAATGCCCCCATGGGAACATCGGTTGCTCATCTGCATGCCTCAGACGCAGACCTTGGTTCCAACGCGCAGATCCACTTTGCCTTCAGCAACCAGATCTCTGCCTCAACCAAACGTCACTTTTCCATCGACAGCTCAACAGGACTGATCACTGTGAGGCAGTCTCTGGACAGGGAGGTAACTCCTGTTCACAAACTCATCGTGCTTGCCAGTGATGGCAGCTCTACTCCCTCCAGAGCCACAGTGATTGTTAATGTAACAGATGTTAATGACAATGTTCCCTCCATAGACACTCGCTACATTATCAACCTGGTTAATGGGACTGTTCTGCTATCTGAAAATGCACCTCTCAATACAAAAATAGCCCTCATCACTGTTACTGACAAGGATGCAGATCTTTTTGGCAAAGTAGCTTGCTACACTGAACATGATGTTCCTTTTCGGTTGAAGCCTGTCTTTAATGATCAATTCTTACTAGAGACAGCAGCCCCCCTAGATTATGAGACGACTCGAGAATATGCAATTAAGATAGTGGCCTCGGATAGGGGGACGCCTCCTTTGAACACTTCAGCTATGGTTTTAATTAAAATCAAGGATGAGAATGACAACGCACCCATCTTTCCCCAGCCGGAAATCCAACTTTCCATACCGGAGAACAATGACCCCTCTACACAGTTAATAAAAATCAGCGCCACTGACGCAGACAGCGGACATAATGCTGAGATTATTTATACTCTTGGCCCTGATGCGCCTGACGGGTTTAACGTAGACAGACGGTCAGGAATTCTCTCTGTTGGCAAACGACTGGACAGAGAGAAGCAGGAGAGGTATTCATTCACTGTCATAGCGAGGGACAATGGCTCTTCTTCCCTGCAGAGCAATGTCACCGTCAGGCTAATCGTCCAGGACCTTAATGACAACAACCCAGCTTTCACACACCCCGAGTACAACTTCTATGTGCCTGAGAACCTGCCTCTCTATGGAACTGTGGGCTTAATCACAGTGACGGATGCAGATGCGGGAGATAATTCAGTTATAACCCTGTCTGTTTTGAACGGAAAAGATAATTTCATCATCGACCCCCAAACCGGTGTTATCAAACCCAATATAACGTTTGATAGGGAGCAGCAAAGCTCCTACACTTTTATGGTTAAGGCAGTTGATGCGGGGCAACCTCCAAGTTCCTCCTACGCCAAGGTCACTATCAATGTAGTCGATGTGAACGACAATCGCCCTGTGTTCGTGATCCCATCCTCCAATTACTCATATGACCTAGTGCGAACCACCATCACCCCTGGCGCTGTGGTCACCAGAGTGTTTGCCATTGACAATGACACAGGTATGAATGCTGAGCTGCAGTACAGCATTATCAGCAGCATCATCATCACATCTAGGGTCTCCCCTCGAGGTCTTTTCTCCATCGACAAAGCAACGGGTAACATAACACTGCAGGAGAAAATAGTGACAGCTGATCAGGGACTGCATAGGCTGGTAGTCAAGGTCAAAGATCTAGGTCAGCCTGAGTCATTACATGCCATTGCGCTTATTCACTTGTTTGTCAATGACACTGTGTCAAATGCTACCTTTATCCAAGAGCAGCTGAGAAAAAGTATGGAGACACCTTTGGATCGTAACATAGGGGAAGGTGAGGTAACACCTCAAGCCAACGGATATGTTATTGTTGTCATAGCAATCATAGCAGGGACGATGACTGTCATCTTGGTGATATTTGTGACTGCCTTGGTGCGCTGCCGACAGACACCCAGACATAAAGTGGTACAAAAGGGCAAGCAGAGTGGCGAATGGGTGTCCCCCAACCAAGACAACCGTCAGATCAAGAAGAAGAAGAAGAGAAAGAAGCGATCCCCAAAGAGCCTCCTCTTGAACTTTGTGACAATAGATGAATCCAAGCCTGACGACCCCACCCATGAGCATGTTAATGGTACACTTGATCTCCCTGTGGAGCTAGAGGAGCAAACCATGGGGAAGTACAACTGGGCCACCACGCCCACCACCTTCAAACCTGACAGCCCAGATTTAGCCAAACATTACAAGTCTGCGTCCCCTCAGCCTACATTTCAAATCAAACCTGAGACTCCAGTGGCCCCAAAGAAGCACCATGTGATCCAGGAGCTCCCCTTGGACAACACGTTCGTGGTGGGCTGTGACTCACTCTCCAAGTGCTCATCGACTAGCTCCGACCCGTACAGTGTCTCAGAGTGCAGCTGTCAGGGGGGATTCAAGACTACGGGGCAAATCTCCACCCGACAGGTAATTCATGACTTCCTTCTTAAACCCACCCACACTAGTCCCCACTCACACTCCCCTTGCTGTCCCATGGTAGGTGATGTGAATGGGGGAGGGTGGCAGCATGGAACCATGGGATTTTCCCACACAGACCATGACCATGTCTACATGAATGTCATTTGCACTTAAAAAGCGAAAGAATATAAGATAATTTGTTGCAATTAATAGAGAAAACCTTTCACTATACTGATTGTTACTAATTCATATATTCACCCTCCTTCATTAGCAATCATAGTTGCATAATCGTTTACAAAAATACATCTGCAGGCTAATTTCATATTCAAAAACTTGAGAACAGGAAGCAGTGCAATTAGGATGGATAGCTATTTTAAACTTCACTGTGAGTGGTTGGTTGCAATGTAGCCTGATTCAGAAGAGCCTGGGATGGGTGGCATTGATTGAATTCTCTACTGATGTATTTGAGGTCAAGGGCGAATGATGCTCTGTGTTCATATTTTTGACTGACTCACTGGCAGTGCTAAGATAGCACTTAATATTTGTTTTCAAGAGGGCTAAGCAACAAATACATATGGCAGCCACAGTTACACTTAATCCTGTATTCATCTGGTCAAACATTTTTGAAGGTAATAGCAGAAAAAACAAACTGCTCTTGACATGCTTAAACAACTTCATAAACAGCCCCACTTTTTGTGGATTCTATCCTCAAAATATTAAGTGCTATCTTAGCACTGCCAGTGAGTCTTTGTGGGAGAGAGGCTCATTTGAATGCCAAGGTACAGCAAAGGGCTTATGATTCTGTAAGAGATATATGCCGAATGCGAAGTGCCCCAATAAATTAAAGCTGGCCAGGGAAATAAATGTAAATCAGAGGTAAGGAGAGGTGGCCTTGCTTAGTGCTGACAGCCAGAGCGCTATGGGGAAGACTGAGTACTTCTTAGGGCGGGGGGAGGGGGTCACAGGGATCAAGGTGACGCAGAGCCTTGAGACCAATATACTTAAACACCAAGGGAGCAGTAGTCCATAAAAAGCCTGCCAGGCCAATGTTGCTTTTAGCCCATAAATGCTCTACTTTAATGACTGCAATTATTGTTATAAACGACATATGTAGATACACATTCTTTACATTCTATAAATTACGCCACATAGGAGAGGCAGAAATGACATCACAATAAAGGCTTGCCGCTGTTGCAGTTTGTTAGAGATTACACTGAAGTATCTCTAATACATTGCATTTTATGTACATGATATTTGTCCTGCTATCACCAGCACAATTGAACTAATCAAGGCTGAATAGTTTGTGCATGGGCTAACAATATATTGCATACATGGATATATCCATATATTCCCTCAGTGTCGAACCAGATTCAACCATTTTAATGTTTTGCTTTTCGTTTCTTTTTGTGTTTCTTTTTTTTGAGGGTTTGGTTGTTTCATTGCAGCATTGGCTTTTGTTTTTGTTACTGTTTTGTTCATGATTATTACAACTGCCATTCATCCAATTCTGGTTCAATTTCATAATATTGCATCAATAATTTATTTGTTTGATGATGAGGGGCTTGCTTTTGTTTGTGTGATGCCTGATATTGCAGACATTTTTAAGATCTTGGGTTCATTTCTGTCTTTTTGCTCCCTGTATGTTCTGTGTGACATCCAGCAAACATTTATTCCTCATGGCATAGTTTTGATAAATGAGTTTTGATCCCATGAAATATTGTGCTTAGGTTAATTTATGAAGACACCCACACAGTGTTGATAGTCATTCCCTTCATCCACCTTTTATTTGAAATCCTGGTTAAGAGCTATGCTCTGCCATTGTAAATTACACACTAGCCAACATGCCCGTGGTACCAACGATTTAATTCATAATGTGTTCATATGACACACTGACGAGATGTCAGGATGATTTTCCCCTCTTACTGGCAGTGACTGCCCTGAAATATGCATAAATATCCTTTCGTTGCTTTCCAATTCCAAATTATTATCCGTCATGAATTTTATGCATCAAGGATTTAATTTGATTTTCTCTTATGTGGCTGATCAGAGTGGAGCATTTTTGTCAGAATAATTTAAAATCAATGAATATATGATTAGTAAACACCCTGCCAAATATTCAGTCTCTGTTTAAATCAGTTTATTTCTAAAGTACTCTATTTTTATTCCTTTCTCTAAGAGAGGTCAGATTTAATATTGTCATATTTTGGTTTCAAATGCTTCGCAGAATTTGAATACTATAAAAAAAGACCCATGGGTTCTACTCACCAACCATATCTTCAAGGATAATATGCTGATAATACATCTTTTCTTTTTTTGTCCCCTTAAGCAATTGACAAGTGATGCCTCCCACTTTAGACATTAGATTTCCCACCAGTTTTAAGTGTGCTTATTTAAAGCCTGTGTCATGGAAAAAAAGCATGAAGCTTTGCGTAATGAGAATCGGTGGCTGCAAAGGTTAATTAAATGCACTAAAGGGTTAATCACTCGTAATACAGTATGATTAAAATCACCGTAATTAGGTTTCGTATGAAGCTGATAAGAAAGAAGAAAAAAGGCAGCTGTCCTTTAAGATTATCAGCGATGCCACGCACTATCCCGAGCAGATTCACGTTCTCTACATCCAAGCGATGTGACAATAGGTGATCGGCTGTCCTGTTTGTTGAAGCTATTATAATTTCCTCTCCTCTTAATATTATCTTCATGTTTCTTTAAAGCAAATCTTTTTTTCCCAAAGTCTAAAGAAAAACACTTAAAAACAGCACTCCTCCATAGAGTGTGGTTGTTGCTTTCATCTGAGGGGGTAAAAAAAGAGAACACTTGAGAATACTCTAGAAAATCAAGAGATTATTTCAAGTGTGGCTGTTAAAACAATAGCTGCATTTGTTCTGTCAAGGCCAGCAATTCATTCTCTCTTGAGCCTTAACCTAATACCAGAAGTCAAAAAGTGAAGATTACAGCCAGGTTGTCATGTTTTATTTTTTGTTTATCAAAGTGACAGATGGTGCTTTATTGCCCTTACAGTGATCTCTCTTTGCCCAGCACCCTCCTACGCTCCTAAAGCAGCTGAACAAAAAGCAAAGACAAAAAGCCCTACCCATCGAATAACGATGTGGAGGGCACATACGAGGAGATAATTATGGTTGAAGGTCACCAAAATGTTTTCAGGGACTTTACAGATGTAGCTGATAAAGACTAAAGCTTGTAAAAATACTTCAGAGACCACAGATTTGTGTCACCATATGGCTTCATTATACAGCGAGAGCTGTATTTGCAAATAAAACCCCTCCTCCTCCCTCCTACCCTCCCTTCTGAGTTTTCACACATCTCATCATTTTTATTTTAACCCCCACCCTGTGATATTAGAGGTCAATCTGCCTCCAGTGATGAGGAGCTCTTTAGAGAGTATGTGCTTTAGTAGAGGCAGATCAAACGGGTACCCCCCGCCCGAGTGATCTCAGACATCCCCATGCATATGCAGGGGAATAAAAAGGCTAATACATTCTCTAGTTTGGCCCGTAATTGTGGGCCCACAGAGCATGTAGGGTCACCGGTTAACGAAAATCACCTATGGCTTAGTATAAAGTAGGAGAAGCTGCTGTCAGTGTTTTTGTAGAATCGCGCAAGAATATATCGCAGTTTTATTAACTACCCCTTAGACAATAATTGTTGTAGTTGTGCCTTATTCATACATCCAATTTATCATATTGTCTTTATAAAAAGATCATTTAATGAATGCATTAGAAAACAAGGGCCATATGGAACAAATCTTTGCATACGTTCATTTATTTGTGTGGGTGAAGGTATGGGCCTCTCACACTAGCCGAGAAACACTTAGCTGACTCATACTGTAGCAGTGCATAGCTAAGGGTAGAAGCATGATTTGAAAACGCTTGTTAAACAATCTAATGCTCTATTTTTTCAATTTTTATTTTATCACCATTGTTTTGTTTGTTTTGTTTTTATATTTATTTTTGAGTCATTGCATCACTGTGCCTTACTAATGTAAGCACTAAACGTTCAGGTTATTCCCAATTCAGATACTGGCAGATGTGTTGCTCTTAAGAACAGCAAAATGTCATATTCTGTACATATCAGAGGACCCACTGGCAAGGGTCCGAAAATAAGAGTGGGCCTAAATTGATCCAAATGGATTTTTGAGGGGAAAGGAAGAGTGCTGCACTAGTGTGGTGGGAGACAAAAAGACAAATTGGGAGTGATAATTGGATAAGATTGCATGCTCTGATAAGTACAGGAAAAATGCACAAGCTTGTGACACTTGTAGCATTCTTCAAGGATACCTGACAAGATAATGGTTTGATTGCCAGCCGTGCCTTGAAGAATGCTTTTTTTTTAATCTTCTACACTCTCTTCGGAGATTTCTTATTCAGTGTTCAGGGTGTCCTCACACTGATGAGGCTACAGCTTAGGCTTCTCAGAGCTCGATGATATTGTAACTACAATCTCCCTATATCTGTCTGTCTCTCTATATTTCAGGAGACGTCACTGAAACCACCACACTATGGCACACTCTGTGGCACAGGTACAGCTCGCTCCCACAGGATTAAAATCAATCTCTAGCTTCCACTACCTAAAGCGAGAAAAAGAAAGAAAAGAGAGAGGGCAGAGGGAGGAAAGAAGGAATGCGAAAACTGAAGAGGTGAAACAAGTACTTTATGTCTCTACAGCCTCAAACCTCCACCTCTTCATACAATCGACAGAAAAGATGAACTTGGAGGGGGGGGGGGGGAGGAGGGTTTCTCATAAAAAGAGAGACGCTTCATGTTGCCTGCCTGAAACTTGACAAAGGTCCTCCTGTGAATCTGTTGGAAATTTGAAATGCTTTATTGAGTCCTATGCTATTACTTACCTGTGTCAGTGAGGACTAAACTGTATGCCCTGACCCTCCACGAGAAATGTCCCTCTGCAGCACCCACTTTGTAAAATAGGTGTCAAATACAGTCAGTAGTTCTGTAAAGTATGTTTATATGTATGTATGTATATCTATCACA